CAACCCTCGGTGTTGCTCCCGTGCCTCGCTCAGCCAGTGAGCGGGAACCGGTCTGCATGTGGGATCCGAACCCTCGGGCGGGAGCGCCGCCGCGCTTCCCAAGCGGCGCACTATCCAGTGCGCCACCGGGCCAGCCCGTTTTCATGTATTTTTATTGGTTAACTTTTTTCTCAAAAGCATATGATGAAAGTATTGTTGATGAATTTTCTTCTCTTAAAACCAGGGAAGTAAATTATAATAAAATTCGTTTGGGACATAAATAAAATATTTAAGATTATAACCATGTAATAAGGCTACCGTTTAATTTTTCAATATTTTTCAAGTACTTTAATATTTTGGAAAAAAAATAACATTCAGAAAATACTTAAGGACGTGCATATTAGGGATACAATCTTTCCTTTCTCCTTGGTTCCATGGCTCGGCACAGTACTAATAATCATTACCACGTACTGAATTCTTCCTATGTGTCAGGAAATATGCTAGACATTTTTATATTCGTGGCCACCTGAGATACCGCCAATTGTAGGAAACGAGAATAAAAAAACCAAACCCAAAAGTATCACAGAGACCTCTGGGTTTGGAGACAAGAAGACTAGGTCCAAATAAATGTCTGCTGTACAAGTTCCCATCTAGATAGTTTACCCTCGTTTGCCCAGAACTGAGAGAGGTTCCTGAGATACAGAAATTCAGTTTTAAAACTGGAAGAGTCACAAATAAATTGGAATGAGTTGGCCACCCTGCGTCTATGTGACTTTGAACAAGTCAGCTCACTTCTTTGAGTTTCATTTTCTTAGCCCTGGAAACTTGTTTTGACATTTAAATAAACAATCTATAATTCATACACTCAGCATATAGTAAGTGATCAATTCATTTTAAGTAGAGATTGATGTTGGTTACCTTGAACTAGTAGGTGTACAGTAAATCTATCTTAAATTCAGCAATTCGATCAGCATTTATTGAGCACCTGTTGTCCTGAATGATGTGCTAGGTACTAAAGTACACAGGTAAACATGACAATTCCTTGTCCTCTAAGAGATTTCATCCTCATGAGAAAGGCTCCTTTGAATGGGGCCTGAACATACCAGGGTAGACGATTGAAAGGACTGGGCTGATTCTCAGAACAGTCTGATCATTGTCCATAGAGGAAATGGTCTCTTACCTGAGCTCAGGTAGTGCTGCTGCTTCTGGTCTCCTAGGAGTCTGCCTCAAGCTGAGAGGCTTCCAATTATTTATATGTATATATGCATGTCACATAAAGGAAGTGATCTCCAGCAGGTGAGGGCTGGAACTCCCTTGGAATTTCTCTGGTGGCATCTCACTTCCTCAAGCCCTAAGGCATTTTAACTGCAGTTGGCTTATCCCAACACCTTCCTCCTCCAAGAAGCACTGCCTGAGGGGATTACTGGTTGGAGCTGTGGATAAAGGATGTGCCTCCTTCTGGCTCCACCTTCCTGCTTGGTAAAATGATAGTTAGGACAGAGAAGATCTGAATGACAGAACTGGAAGAGAATTCCAGGGGGTGCTTCACCCTCTCCTCTAAATCCAGTTCTCCTTAACCTAGTTCCTCCCCAACCCCAGACACTGTGGGCTCGTTCCTGGATTTCTCTGTTGCTCTTTAACACGGCCTCCTCTCTTTCCCTCCGTTCATCATTAAAGAGAAGACCCAAATACTTCATTTCTGAACTACCCCAGGCTACACCAATCTCTCCCTTCCTTAGCAGAGTTTTCTTTAGCACGTGAGAATATCTAATGTCGCCTTCTGTTTTCTCCCTAATGACAGTGGAAGATTTTCTTAGATAGGGATTGGTCCATCACGTAGGATCACACTTCCAGGCAAGATTAAATTCAGTGTGCCTGAGATGAATTACAGACAATGCTTCGAAAATTGTCAAGACGGTAGAGACTATAATATGTTCCTTTTTAACTTTTTTCCTACTCAATATCTAAAATTCTGAAGTCTTCCACTGGAGTTCAGGAATTCCACGGTTTACAGGATGACTTTGGCGTATCATTTCATCTTTCTGGATTTCAGTTTCCAAATCCATAAAGTAAGAGCAACAGATGATGTGTAAGTTGCTTTCCAGTTCTGACATTCAGTGATTCTTTGCTCTTCCACTTTTTGGGTTAGGCTGCTCTTCTTAAGGTCTTTCAATGTCTTCCTAAAGTTCCCTGAAAATGAAGACCATGACTTTTCATTATAATACTTGACAAATGTTGAAAATGTGTGTGATTATCTAATCTAACTATCTCTTGAATGATTTAAGCTCATGGCTTTTTTTTTTTTTTTTTTTTTTTGTCTTTTTTTGTGACTGGCCACACCGCACTCAGCCAGTGAGCGCACCGGTCATCTCTATATAGGATCCGAACCCACGGTGGGAGTGCCGCTGCGCTCCCAGCGCCGCACTCTCCCGAGTGCGCCACAGGGTCAGCCCCTCATGGCTATTTTTCCATCACTGGTGCTAAGTAAATAATTTCTCATGATCGGATGATATCTGATCTAATCATCCATAAGTGTGATTAAAGTGAAATTGGGAAACGTGGGGCTGACAAGACTATTGGAAATAAAGATTTTCAGTAAATCTGAGCCAGTCAGCTCTTTTCTGTTAACCAAGAAGAAACCAAATGCTTCATTTTAAGCTACCTTAATGATTAATTAAGCTTAGTTATTCACACAATCCCAATTTTACTTGAATAATTGTCTCCCATTTTCTTACATCCAAATACTTC